TTACGAGATAACGACCTCTTTGCAGCTTATGAGCTTCGCTGTTTCGAAGAACTCCCAAGCTCTTCTGCTCGTAGTGCTTTTTTTTTATCTCTCTAAAATAAATCACACCAACTTTTTGTCATTTATCCCCTCCTCTTTATTACATGCCACCACATGCACCTCACTTGTCCTCGGTCCTACTAAGCAACTTGCTTGATCCAGCATCAAAGATCAAAGAGTGAGGCAGGGGCTTTAATAACTTTCAGAAATAATATAATATAATATATAATATTTTTATGTTTGTAAACGTTTTAGGATAATACAACTCAATACTTAAAACAAAATGCAATATATTAAACGAGTTTAGATGTATCAAAATTAAGTGGATATAATAACGTCAGTAGCCAATCAATTAAATATTTTGTCATTGCATTTGAACTGGACAAGATTTACAAAATCAGCTATTGAATGTGGAGGAGAGCAACCAAAACGCATTGTATTTGAACATGACAGAAAATATGAAAAGCTTTTTGCATGTAGTGGGCATTAGGGGTGTTCACCGAATCAAATTTATTAAAATAGAGTAAATTGAACCAACTCATGGTTTGGTTTAGTTATATATGTCATGTTTGGTTCAATTTGATTCTCTCACTATTTGGTTTGGTTTACGATTTAATCACTAAATCAAACTGCATAAACCAAATCGAATCATAAACTATTTTTGAATTTGTAATTTAGTTCTTAAAAGTTTTTTCTCTTTTTGTTCTAGTCCCTCCACTATTCTTCTTTTCTTGTATCAGTCTCAAATCTCTTTTCTTGATCTTCTTTATTTTTTTGTGGTCTCCCAAGCTTATGATTTTTTCGAATAATACCTTAAATTTGAGTTATTACATATTAGATCTTATTTAATTTATTGAATTTTCTTGATAGCCATTTTTTAGTTTATCAAATTTATTTAATTCTACTGTAAGCCTGCAATTATGTAAGAATAAAGAGTTTGTAAAAAGTTTAGTAAATTTAACTTACAAATTATAATTTCAAATTAAATTAAATCATAAATTATGATTTAATTTAATTTAATTCTTAAAAATTTATAATTTAAATTAATTCTTAAAAATCAAAAATAAAATATAATTTAATTTAAATTTAAATTTCAAACTATACCACAAACAGCCCCAGTGGACATTGTTTTTAAATAAATCAATCATCAAAACATTTTTAGAAATAAATGAACAACACGTGGAGTTTGACAATAAATTCGGGAAGTTAGAGACTTATAGGTTTTCTTCTCTTGTCCAGACGAAATTAATGAGAGAGGCCGAAAGCTGGAATCTTGATGCATTTAACAATTGAAGGACAGTACTCGATCTATTAATAACTGAACTTTTTGTACATACCAAAAGGACAATGATACTTCGTACTTGATCCTCTAAAATCAAAAACTATTTTTACCTCAGCAAATTATTCAGATATATATAATTTGAAAATGAATTTACTTGATGCTATACATATTTCAGGATGATATTCTTTACTTTTCTTCTACAGTGAAAGCAGATTGTAAATAAATTTTTACTTTGATGGTGCCTTGGAACTAACTGGATATGGAAAATTCTTGTGGTTAGGATCCAAAATATAAGCAGTTAGCAGTATTTGGCGGTACATGACTACTTATTCGGACAATTTCAGTTGATTTAAACTATTTATTTTGAAATTAATGGTCAAATTTTTTTACCATTTTATCAAACTTGAAATTTAATTTTTAAAAAGGAGAGTATCTAAACTGTTTATAAAATTATCAAACATTTAACTCTACTTCATTTCATTTCCGATCTACAGTGAACAAAAATATACTTATAAAAGGGTAGTGGCCTTGAGTAAGGACCAACTAGCTAACTTGCTGGGAAACTTCGTGTACGTAAACTGAAGCCATACCTACTTAGCTAGCTATCTGTCAACGAGAGCGCAGTTACGAAAACGAAAACCATGGAAATTGCTACCACAGGAAAGAGGAGAAAAGGAGCTTGGACTGAGGAAGAAGATCTCGTCTTGAAGAAGTGTGTGCACGAGTACGGAGAAGGGAACTGGCACCTAGTCCCCCACAGAGCTGGTTAATATCCGAATCAAGTGGTGTTTGGATCACCCTGTGAAGCTGGCTCTTTCGAAGGAGCTTCCAGGGCTCTTTTGCGTTTCTTTCTTTTTTTTTTTTTTTCTCACTTTTTTGAATCAATAATTGGCTAATAGAGAAAAGTCAGGAAAGTTCGGTTTACTCTTGAAGCCAGCTCCAACCGAAAGGCCAATCTTAAAGTCTTTATATTTTGAGCGTGGTTCCAAAAAGCTCAAAAAAGCTCTTGGAAGACTCCAGGCTCACGCTTGAAGCTCAATTTTGAATCTTTTTGGGATTATCTCTCTCTCTCTCTCTCTCTCTCTCTGGGTGTTTACTTGAGAGAGACTTTTTATTGTCAGAAACGGGAGCGTTTGTGGTTTTTGTTTGCATGAACAAGACATTCAAAAGAGCTGCTATTTTCAATTAAAAACAAAAGAACTCGGGGCCCAAAAAACCTGCAAAACAAACAACTCAAAAGTTCCTTTTTTTTTTTTTTAATGATGAGTTGTTTAAAATTTTTGTTTAACAATAAATTTAGAATCCATTTTCTTTAAATCTGCAATCAAACAAACCATTAAAATTCAAAACTTTCCAACCAAAATCTAAATATAACTTCGGCTATTTTTATCTATATACTCTGTAAATGGTTTTCTTTTTTTTTTTCTTTTTATTGGTGATTTTATGCATTTGTAGGATTGAATAGATGCCGGAAAAGTTGCAGGCTGAGGTGGCTGAACTATCTGAGACCAACTATAAACAGAACGAGCTTCTTGGAGGATGAAGTTGACTTGATGATCAGGCTTCACAAGCTCCTTGGTAACAGGCAAGTGCTTGTTTATTGCAGCATATATAGGGACTGAAGTTCTGGCGCAAATTGCATTTCTTGTACTTGTCTTTATTTATTCACATTCTAAGGAATATGAAATGAAGATATCCAATTATAAAATATTCAATTCCGCACCAATTATTTCCACCACGCAGGAGGTTTTTTTAGAATATTTGGATTTGATTAGAAATTATATTTTTTTTTTATTTTTTAAATTAAGATTAGGTTTATTTAGGATATAAAATTTAAATTTTCATAATAATTTCAAGGGGGCAACCTTAATTTTTAAAGAGTTTTTAAACTTTAGAACTCCTCTCTATAAAAAAAAAACTATTTTCTATTAGAATATGAAGAAAAAAATACTTTTAAAAAATTCAAGAGGAAAAAAAAGTTCAAGACTTAACTAAAACATTTTGATAAGAATTAACTATTTAACAACGATACTAACTGTTCTAATATAAAGAGTTGGAGGTGTTCCAGTGGTTCGATATTGAAATGTCTTAGGGTAAAGAGTTGAAGACATTCCAACATTTTGGGATAAATTGGCGCAAGAAAAATCAGGTTTGTAATTGAATTTTTGTTAGGGTTTAGATAAGATTTTCTGAAAATTAATTATAAAAGCATTTTTAGTTTTTTATTAATAAATTTCAATTTAGTTTTTTTCTATAATTATTCTGGTTGAATTTGGATTGTTCTATTCAAGTAGATCTATTTCGCCATTGCTCGTGCCAAAAAAAAAATTATGGATCATTCTACTGCTTTTATAGGACTCTCTTGGAGTAGTAAATTTCTTTAGATGGAACAAACAAATCTACAAGATCCAACTCTCGTGGGTGCTACAAATAGTTGGTTAACCTATGTCGTCTTGCTAGATTTTTTCTTTTAAAAAGAACTTAGAAAGCCTAAGTTAGTCAAAGGTCTAAAATATTGAAAAATAGAGAAAGTCAAAAGTCATACTCATGACTTGTAGACAAGCTTGTTCATGGTTCATAAACTTGCTCGAACTAGAATCGAACTACCTGTTTTGATCCTAGAAAAATATAAACCACAACTGAAATCTTGAAGGCTGGTTCAGTTCTAGTTCCAGTCTAGTTCATGGTTCCAATTTTGGTCTTCGCCAATTTACGATTCTGGTCCAGGCCAGTTTATGTTTCGATCCAAACTAGTTCATGGTTCTAATTCCGATTCGTTTATGATTTGTTTTCGGTTTATCTACAATTCGGTTCAATTTAAGTTCAGTTCCGGTTCGATTTTACCTTAAAAAATTTACATATTAACTTATAAATATTTTTAGATTATTAAATTTTTAAAATATTATAAATATTTAATCTAGTAATTATCTTTCAAATGCTAAACACAGAAAATAATAATAATAATAGATTTAAACTTAATTGTGTATCAATTAAACTGCCTATGCATCTTTTTACGATTTAGGGAAATCAAAATCAACGTAATTCTCTTATCTTAATTAGTATACCCCTTTATCTTTTATTTTAATTTCCATTATCTCTAGTTTCAGCTATGTTCTTTGTCCTCAAAATATGAATTTTATAATGTTTGTTAACTAATATATTGAAAATAAATTTATATCTAAAAATAAGTTTTTCTCTTATATTTAAAAATAAGTTGTATAAATTCAAATTTAAAAAGTAAGTAAAAATCCTTTTTCTATTTCTAAAAAAAGACAAAAAAATAAATTTTCACGGTTTAATTTTCATGGTCACTCATGGTTCGATTTCTGGTTCACTTCTTATGGTTTATTCACGGTTATGATTTATGGTTCCAGTTCACAGTTCAATTTTAGTAGTTCACTTCAATTCTGGCTTAAGTTCAAAAAAATATAGACCTTAATTAGATTGTAAAATCTTACATTTTAAAACTAGACTAGACTAGAAATAAATAGTCCAGTCTAGTCTGGCTAGTTCACGGTCCAAACTGAACTAGACTCTTGAATAGACCTACCTTTAAATGAATTTCATACGTGTTATACCATTTAGATTTATTTTTGATAGATAATCTTGTGTCATAATTTAGGGCCTAAATACCACATGATTTAGCCCAAATCTCATATGACTTGGTAGATGAGGGATTATGGCGTAAGCCCCTTTAAGTTCCCCGGGTGGAGTCCCCTCTCAATCCTGCTTAGTTAGATATAGGATAGATTTAGCTTATATTTGTTCCTCTCTTTTACCAATACATATACGTACACATAACTGCATACATATATATATATATATATATAATCACGAAATGTTTTCTATAATTTTAATTTTTGCAAATATCTATTTATTATTTTACTAACGTAACCTTCCAAACAGATGGTCACTCATTGCAGGTAGACTTCCTGGAAGAACAGCAAATGACATAAAGAATTACTGGAACACCCACATGCGGAAGAAGCTGGAAACCGAAAGCAAAAATCCGGCAATAGCCATTTGTCAGGAGGCCATGGAAACAAAAATCATAAGACCTCAACCTTGGAGATTCACGAAAAACCTGAAATGGTTGAAGCCCTATAAAAACACCACCCTAGGCACCAAGCAAATTGCATATGACAACCTTGCCAAGCAACCACAGATGAGGGAAGATGGAGTGTCCGGGTGGCAAAAAGTACTTCCTAAAGGGGAACCCAATGGCGCCGCCACATGGTGTAAAGGTTTGGGCTGGCCTGAGACAGTGCAGATGGGCGAGAATGGTACTTCTGAGGAAAGTCAGATCTGGTTGAGTGAGATTTTTAGTGGCAGCATGGATTCTGGCTGTGATAATACTTTTAGCCAGGAGGAGGAGGCCAAGACACCACATCTGAGGGCAAGCGAAGTTTCCATATGGCACAAAATACTTACTGAAGTGGAAGCCAGTGGTTTCGCTACAGGGTGCAGGGGCGAGATGGTGCAGGTTGGCGAGGATAGTAATTTTCAGGAGAGTCAGGGTTGTTTGAATGAGATCCTTAGTGACAGTGTGGAATCTGACTGTCGTGATATTTGTACTCAAGAATGGCAGGCCAAGCCACCAGAGCCGAGGGCAGACGAAGTGTCCAGGTGGGTTAAAGTGGAAGCCAATGGTGCCGCCCCACGGTGCAAGGGTATGGGCTGGCCTGAGAAAATGTAAATGGGCGGGCATAGTATTTTAGAGGAGAGCCAGAACTGGTTGAATGAGATTTCTAGTGGTAGCGCGGATTCTGTCAATGTTGTTATTTTTAGCCAAGATTAGCAGGCCAAGCCATCCCCCGCCGAGGGTAGAAGGAGTTTCAGGGTGGCACAAAGTACTTGCTGAAGTGGAAGCCAATGGTGCGGCCTTATGGTGCAAGGGTTTGGGCCAGTCTGAGACAGTATAGGTGGGCGGAGATAGTAATTATCAGGAGAATCAGAACTAGTTGAATGATATTTTTAGTAGCAGCATAGACTCTGGTCATAATAATGGTTTTAGGCAAGAATGTCTGGATGGTTGTGGTCACATTTTTATTGAGAATATGCACCTCTGGAAAATTTTAGGTGATGGGTGGCTAAAATATTTGTGATTATTTAATTTGTACTTCTATTTCTATTTAAGAAGTTACTGTGGTTCTTATCATAGGGGTTAGTAATGATCTTTAGTAACCACGAGAAGCAAATCTTAACAACTTCTTAAGACATCATTATATATCAACTTAGTTTCTATTTTGACACATTTTAATTTTGTGGCACTTTATATAGCATTATATAAAAAAATGTTTATAAAATGTCATATTATCCACCATATTGAAGGAACTTATTTAGACTATTACTGTATATTAAATAATAATTTATATTATTTACCCTCTAGAGATAATTAATTAAACTTAATCTAAAAATAAAATAAAAATATAGTTTAAATAAAATCTCTAATAAAATCCGAATCTCTCAAAAAAATCCTCCTAGATCATGCATCTCCTTTGAGGGAACCAACTCTCAATGGTTCTTAATTTTGGTAGTGTGCCCTTATTAATATTATTGTTGACTGTTGAATCTGCTGTAGATTAAAAATACTTTTCCGATTGCTATATTGCTGGATTTAATTTGTACCATCCATAGTTAAGATTGACGCTCTGATATCAAAAATATGATTTATAATTTCTTGAGAGGTATAAGTAATGATCTAACAAATTCACTAAAACAAGAATGATTCAAGCTCAATTATAATAATTGTAGGCAAAACTAAACTAAAATTAACCAATAAAAAGTTAAGAATGCTTATATAATTGGTTTCAAAAATTTTATTTAAACCCCAATAAGTACCCAATTACAAACTCAATTCCTACTCAGACCGTTTAATATTTGGAGCTTGGATATCGCAAATCTTTATACTCACTCAGCTAAACTATGTTGATTCTCGTCTCGATATGATTGGAATGGTTGAATGGCTTATTAACTTCTTGTTGAAAAACTTTAGTTGAGTCTTAAACTTTTGAGAAAGGTTTTTTTCTCCCCCATTCCAATGGATAGTCTCCCTTTTATAGCAATAAGTCAAAAAAGATGAAAGACGCTTAAAGGCTAAAGCTTCTTTAAAAAATAAAGTTATTCTCTTGTGATAATTTTAAAAATTTAAATTTTATATCCTAAAAAAATTTAAACTTGATCTAAAAAAATTTAAATTCTCAATTAAACCCTTAATCTCCTAGAACTTTTAATTTGTGCAATTAAGCCCAAATTTCATTTCTTTAATTAAGCCTATTGAGTGAAGGTAATAACATTAAATTTCTTCAATTAAGACCCTAGATTCCCAGATTTTGATTTTTCAATTACATCCAAATTTCATATTTTTAATTAAGCTCATTGATTTATAATAATAACTTTAGATTTTTTCAATTAAGCCCCTAACCTCACATAACGTTTGTCATGACTTGTAAGCTGGATTCATGACTGGCACTAGGATTAGGATAATTTCAACCCCGTAAGCCTTTTATGCACAGAAGCTATTAAATAATATAAGATAGTAATGCCAAACATAACATAATGTCTAAAACATAAATTCCCATCTCAGTAGATATGTCAAACATTTGAAATCCTGTTTGTTTGTGATCAATAGAGCTACTAAGAACAAAATAATAACATTAAACCGAAATGGAAACAAGAATTAATTGCTACGATCAGAAGTCAAGGCAATTAGAGCAAGATACTTTTATCAAATGTCAAGATCCATCGGGTGAGTCGAACATGAGTCTAAAAAATAAAGGATTGAGTCTAACAACCTAGGGAATAATAATATATATTTACATAAATAAGAGACATATCAGATAATTTCTATCATAAAACATAATTTTTCTACCTATACAAATTTAGGGAGCTGAAAACAGAGAACTTAACAAAAAACAGGACAGTAAACTCATGTTCTACCGATATATAGGTAGTAGGACAGCGACCTCTTAGTTTGCTGAAAATAAATATACAAGCCTACCACATCAACTCAACATGATAATTTAGCACTACCCCTACTAGTTAGGGATACAAGCCAAGACACACCTAGTTTAACGCTTACTACCATTAGTTACAGTATTCTAGTAGTTCAATATTCTCTTAAAGCAATTTTCTAGAGTTTTAACATAAATAGTTCACTAATTTTCAACTCTTTAAACATAACAATAACATAAACCAATTATTTTAGGAAATTTTCAAACAAATCAAATAATGACTTACATGTCCTTTGTGAGCTTTTATAGCAAATTAACTTTCAAAATTTGAACTAATGGGGTTTATATAACAATTCATGTAAAATCCAGATACTTAGTAGATAAGAAAAACAATAAAACATATAAATTCATTTTACTACTCATAGAACTGAAGAATCATGAAATCTGAGCTTTGGCGATACGACTCCACAAGAGTCGAATAATCAATCTAAAGATAACAAAATCTTTATTTTAAGATGTAATATATCTCATAACTAATTTAAAACTAGATTCTCCTCCAAAACCCAAACATGTACTTAGGTTTCCGTGTTCTAAACCCATATAAGGAATTCTAAAGTCTCGAACCGATCAAATAAATCACATCTCGAGTACTAATGCCTTGAGTGGGGCTCATGAAATATAAAATCGGTCTAATTACCTTTTAACCTTACCATTAAAGTACTAAGCTAGTCTTGAACTAGTCACTAGAAGATTGAACCGACCATGAAGCGATCATAACATCACTAAACTAGACCTTAAACTCATTGAACCGGTCATGGAAACCATTGAATGGTTATAAAACCTATTGAACCAACCATAAAACTCTCTAAACTGGCCATAAAACCCATTGAACCGGCAATAATTCCACTGAACCAGCCATGAAGCCCACTGAACCGGTCATGAAACGTACTAAACATGCTATAAAACCCACTGAACTGACCTTAAATCAACTAAACTAGCTAGAAAACACTCTAACCAGTCAAATCAGTGTTGAACTGGTGACTCAATACCTTAATTCCTTAATTTTAATACTAAATTTTTCAATTTATCCTTGAATTGGCCATGAACTAGTTAGTTTATTTTATTATAAACCTTACCTTACCTTGAACCAAAAGTGAACCAGTGTAAAAGCCCTAAACGGCTAGTTTTGCCCATTTGCCATGGCCCAGACCCACCATTTCCAGTTCAGCCCAAACTCATTTGGGCAAGCCCATGGCCCAATTGCAACCTTCTAGCCTGGTCTAGGAAGGCAGACTTGAACCTCAATCAAGTCTGTCTTCCTGACTCGACTCTCACCGAAACCCAAAAAATTGCAAAAGCATTAAATGCTCAAATTAAAAGTTTTAACTCGAAATTTCTTGCAATGAGCCTTCTAGGTGGCTTGGAATGATCAGATGAAAGCAACAGAGGGATTAATCAGCTAATAATCAGTTTAATTTGGGAGAATTAAGCTTGAAGAACTCAATAATGGTGGACGGATTGTATGACTATAAATCGAGAAATTGATGAGGGAAAAGGGATTATTTCTTCAAATTGTCAAAGGGTTTTTGTTCCTCATGCTCGATTGCACGTGAATATAAAAAAGTTTTCAACAAAACATTTGGATTGATGGTCATTAATCGAAGAACCCAAATATTACAAGGGTTATATACTTTTTTTTGGTTTTTGCAATTGGGTCCCTGGATTCTGGTCTTCATGCGATTTGGTCCCTGGCAATTCTGATTAACTTTGATTGGACCCTGAAAGTTCTATTTCACTCAATTTATCCCCTTTCTAATTCAATTAAACCCCCAATTTCCTAATTTTTCAATTTCACCCTCAATATTTAAACTTATTTTAATTAACCCCAAAATTTGGGATTTTACAATCTTCCCACTTAAAAGAAATTCAACCCCCTGAATTTAAATATTAGAATAATAACTTATCTTATGTTTCAAACAAATGAAAGTACTTCAAACGTATCACTTTCTCCAATTCCCATGACACTTCCTCTTTCGAATGATGCCTCCATAACACTTTCACAAATGCGATTTTTTTAGTCCTTAGCTTCTTGATTTGTCGGTCAATGATGGCTACGGTTCTTCTCCATATGACAAGTCAACATCTAACTGTATCTCCCATGGTGCTAAAACATGTGATGAATCTGGCAAATATTTTCGAAGAATGGATACATAGGAATACGGGATGCACCATAAAAAACTTAGGTGGAAGGGCCAATCGATAAGCTATCGCACTGACCTGATCCAATATCTCGAATGGACCAATGTATCAAGAACTAAGTTTTGCTTTTTTTTTTTTTTTTTCCAAATCTCTTGATACCCTTTAAGGGTGAAACTTATAAGAACGCATGATCTCCCACTGAAAATTCAAGCTCCTGGTGATGTTGATCGACATAAACTTTTTGTTTGCTCTAAGTGGCTAACAATCTCTATTGGATTAACTGAACCTTATCCATCGAGTCTTATACCAAGTCTGAACCTAGAAGCTTAGCCTCCCCTGTCTCAAACTATCCCTCCGGAGATCTGCGATGTAACCTGTATAAGGCCTCAAAGGGTGCCATCTGAATGTTTTTCTAATAACTGTTATTATAAGCAAACTCAATTAATGGCAAGTACTAACTCCAATTACTACCAAAATCCATGATAGAAGCCCGTAGCATGTCCTCTAAAATCTAAATTACCCTTTTAGACTGTCCATCAGTTTGAGAGTGGAAAGTTATACTAATATTCAATTGAGTGCCTAGGGCCTCATGAAGAGCCCTCCAAAACGAAATGTAAATTGAGACCCTCGATCTAAAATGATAAATACAAGTACCTCGTGAAGTTTAACTCTCTCATCAATATACACTGAGCACGTTGAAGGGCATCATATGTCATCTTCACTAGAAGTAAGTGAGTTAACTTAGTCAACCGATCCACTATCACCCAAAT